GTTAGCAGTTTGAAGACACGGGAAAAAATGTGGAGCTTATCTCTGTGGCTTGAATAGGGCAAGAGTGAATAGTGTACTCTAAGGGAGGAATTGTAAAAAATCTTCTCCAGACAAAAATGTAGAATCTTAACTTTTTTATGAATGAAAAGGACTCAAAGTGATCTATCAATTTAGTAATTTTCAAAACTTCCTAGTCCCCCGTTTACCACTAAGTTTGTATACGGAAATAAAAGTTTGCGTATTTTTTTGAAAAAAATTCAATGAGATTTTAGTTTAGAAAGCAATTTGGTGGAATAAGAAAATATATGAATTTCATCCCTGAGGCCTGAAGGATGGGGCTCCAAGGGGGAAGTTTGCTTATATTTCAATAATGCTCTTCTCAAAACTTGCCATAGACTGATCAAACTTTTCATGGACAGACACATCCCTAGATCATAATAATCTCAGTTCGTTCACTATAGGTTATAAAGATATACATAGGAAAATTATATTTTGGGTATATTTGTCGTTAACGATAAGGAGTAATTCTAATTTCATTAATATTGTCATCATATAGCAGTTGGCGGATATAAACGATGGTTATATTCGGATACAAGTTATTGTAAAGACCAGTGTGTAACTTATTGTTTGTGGACGATAGTCATAGAAATTAGTACATCGAAAAATAAGATTACTGGAACTGCATGGTATATGTTATGGAATTTAAAATGTGTATACTATTAGACTGTCATGACATATTTGATAAGAAAGTTAGTTTTATTGGAAATAAAGCAAATCATGTTCAAAACTGTCATCAGTTTTACCCCTATATATATACAACTGTAAAATAAAATAATTTTGTCCAAATTGTTCTGAATTGCTCTTAGGTAAAGAAGACTCATTTCTGTATTAATCGCGTGCCTGATCTCCTATGTAGGCAGAGGGACAGGGGCTAATGCGGGAATAGAGCAGTCGCTCTAACGCTCTTCTCTTTTTTAGGCAAGAAACATTCAAGAGAAATACAGCAAATAATTATGTGGGAATGGCAGGGTTTTGTTCACATTTAATTTAAAGCGGTCTTGTACAAAGGGAGTCAGTTTGTATAGATATTGGATCTGAACCCCCGAGGGAAGAAAATCGGAACTCAAGCAATTGTAGATAGCAAATTCTGTAGGAATTTCGTTCAAAAGTTTCTGTTCAAAATTTGTCTTACCCTCTTTGGGCGAAGGGACCTGAACGCGGAAACGCGTTCAAACGTCATGGAAATATTACAATACATGGTTTTCCTCGAAGGCGAAACAAATACTATGATATATCACAATTAATTTAGTAAACAGTAGAGTGGTTTGGCATGAAACCGGACTGGTACTTGTAAAACAAATTGTTTTGCATGAAATGATTATGAATATTATTATCTAAAACTTTATTTTAAAACTTTAACAGTTGTATTACTGTGGCTAATTTCCAACTAGATGGATACACATTAAACGACAAAGAAAAATTAAGCAGTATTTTAAGTGGTTTAGAAACCGTCTTCTGTAAATTTTAACGAATAGTATATTATTTCTAAGAATAAAAGCACGCGGGCCACTTTCTTAATTACTTTACACGTACATCATATCTACCTTATTTGATCTCCTGATTTTCTTTGATCAAAAATAGTAATTAAATGTTCATAATTAAGTTTTTAAAAGTAAAATGTGCAGGTCATATTGTGACAAATCTTTTATTGAATCTGATATTTAGAATCATATTTAGCCCACATAGAACAGTTGTATACTCAATGCATTCCTATTTAAATGTCAAACGAAGAGCAGTTATGTAAGGAAATTCATTGTGTTAAGCTCATGATTATGAAAATACACGTTGACAACGGACATTGATACGAACAAGTAAAATTACTATGTGGACAGGTATTTCAATGTAACGTTCTGACGCGCATCATTTAAAACATCTATACAAAAATGCAGTTAACACACCAGTTACAATACAAAAGCAAGGAAGGTTATTTCATAGATATCTTAAAGCTGTCGATATCTGTACTAAAATATGCCAGTGGTGGATTTATAACGCAAGTTTGTCACACTCTGTTTACAATTGGTTGGCCCTAGTTACCGTCTCTGTGTTTCTCTAATTGGCCATTAAGAATACAATAAGTATTAATCTATCTTTCAGAAATGTCTGCATAACCAAACGAGCTACAGAAGATCATAATATGTCGGCAGAACATTTCAATAAATGGAATTTAATTTGATTTAAATTGATCATCCCAAGGGCAATCTCATAAAAAATCTTCAACGATTGCGTATAACCAAGAATCTCAAAGTATTCTGTATATAATATAAAGAAAAGGTTTGCTTCATTGTACACTCAAAACTTAAAATAAAAACGTAAAGTAGCGAAGTGTAGCATTAGATAGAAAAGAGAGATTAAAACAAAAATACTCATTTTTTTGCACATTCAAGTAAGTGCTTATTTTTAGATCACGTGATAGTGACAGTCTGTACAATCTACCCGTAGGGCATATTCATTTTAATATTTAGATATTTCAAATGTGTAATATATATCTAACTGTTACAACAAAAGCTTCGGTAAAGGTCAAATCTGACAATCTTTCCCGCTAAACAATGCATTGACATACCTGTCGAATTTGGACCCTAGTTTAATGTGTGTTTGTACAATTCGTATCGATATATGTTTATTCATTTTTAGAAAATTAGAAAATCGTTTTGTAATTATGGTTATGCAGTTTGTAATTTCTTGGCCATGCGAGTTGATAGAGTAGATCATGAGATCAAAGCCTGCACAAAACTCGAGTAAAAAATTGTCTTCCTTCGTCCGTTGTGTTACAATGTCCAATACAAAAGTAAATTAACATAATGCATTATTTACAGTAATGTGATTGAGCCGAAAATTCCATTTAAATTTCTTGTGGTAATTTTACCTGAAATTTCTAAATATATATAAAATAATGCAACGTATGAATAACACAAACAGTTGAATGGTTAGTTTGTTTCTCTTTTACATTTCAGACTATCTTATTGTCACGATTTTATTGGCAAAAGGAATCGGGCAATAAACTTAGCTTATCCCTCCCCTTGCTATTATATACAAATATACATATCAAACGAATAACGAATGAATATAGTGATAAATACTAAATACAAAAAATTTAGTTATAATAATATCACTCAATGACAGGGACAAGAGTCAGTCCGAAAGTCAACTTGCATGGAAAGCATCAAAGGCCAATTGTCAATTGTCCATACATATTTACTTTCCTTTGCTGAATCAAAACAGATAACGAGGGGACAAAAACCTGGCACAACAATGTATGAACGGGATATTTATTGGTATCAGTAATAAATCTCTGAATCAACTCAGGAAATGAATTTTTCCTAACTACACCTAGCTCATTGCAACCAATTAGAAATGTTTGGATTTTAAGTGGAAAACGAGAAGTAGTCTTTAGTTAATGAAAATAGGACAATGAAGTGAGAGCAGTCTTCAACTGGCACAGACAGGGCTATCTAATCAGTGGAAATTAAATAAATCAGCGTCCAAGTTACTAATTATCTGACATAAAGTTATATTAATGTTCCTGGCTCCATTAACTTAAAAAAACTAAGTGCACTTGTGTTCGGCACCTTCAACGGGTTGAAATTAGACAAGATGTTTTATTGAACTCATGGGAGACATTGTGGGAAACAGAAAATATGTTCCATTCAGACATATTTTCTGGGGTAAAGTTGGTAATATGTATTTGAGTTCTTGCTAGTGGATCATTAAAAAGTCTATTGAGACGAAGATGATATAGGTCAGTAGTATCATAGATGTAAGGTTTAGTTTTGGCTTCATACTTACATTACGGGTGTCGTCAGTGAAGCAGAAGTTGCTTACTCTGGTCTGAATCTCCTTGTAATTTTTAGGAGTCTCCGTGTAAATCTTATTTTAGATTATGATTATGTTGATACTTTCTTGCTGTTTTTATCAAACATACCGTGACTAAAACTTGTTTTCCCGTTTTCTTACAGGAAAATTTATAGTTTTTCATATTGAACGCCAAATAAAGGCATTTGTATCTCGGTAAACAAAAAATCCGGTCGATATTTTGCATGAACACATCTTATTCACCTGAAGTGTTGAGGTCGAATACGTTATAGAACAACAAAGAACAGAAACAAAGTTTGATTCTTTTGGTAATCATTCCATATTTTGAAAAAAAAAGTTAATGAAAATGTAATTTTATAGGTGAAAAATGTAAATTTTCCAAATAGAATATGTGATACTTAAAATAATCGTAATCATTTCATGCTTTTTTTGTCAATAAAATAGTAATATTTTGACTTTTCCATGCCACAAGAAAATATCTAAACGTCCTCGCTGTCAGTGACTTTCTTATAGATTTTAACGAGTTTAATTAAAACCTAAACTCAGCCATTTTGTGGTTGTATAAAAGTGCTGAAACAAACTTGGAAGAAGGGAATACATTCAAGTCGATAATGAATTAAACTACATCATACAGTATATAAAATGAAGACGAATGAGTCCAGATACGGAAAACCGATATGCGACGCAGACCGGGAAATGTGTGACCAGTCACCCGTGACCGAGACACATGCACATCTTTCATTAGTTATTATGCATACGTCTTGTTTAAGATTCGGACTAAAAACAGGTCAAGTATATACCACGGGCACCGACATACGTATCATCATATCACATGGATGACAGAGGCAGTCGTGACTTTTCGTTTCGGAACAGTTTTAGGGTAGGTTTAAAGTGAATTATCCCTGCTAATAATGGATAAAAGATTACGACGACTTTGTGAAATGCTTTTCGGTGTTGTTTTGTTCGGATTTTTGTGCAAATATGTTCTTTGCACTGGTTATCAACTTCATCTGTTCGAAAAGGGATTAAATGTCATTAATTCCTCAGAAAAGCTCAAGAATCCCGAATTCTTGCAGAATACCTCGTTTGTCTGTCCAATCAGACAAGTCTCCCTTATGAAAAAAACTAAAATGTCAATTCATGTTGGTCTTCTGAGCTACCCAGGATCAGGAAATACTTGGACGCGCCACCTAATACAACAACTCACAGGTATGGTTTATATTGATGAAATTTTACAGTATATTGTCATGATGTTCTGTCAACTAAACATTTGTACGGAAAATACGTGAACGTCTAAAGAAAACAAAGTCAGTATCGGTTTTTTTTTACATCAATTAGGTTTCTTCATCAAAGCAACTAGAGTTCTAATGATTTTTCTCATGAAAAAGAAGAGCTATCTATTATCTAAGATATTCAAAGAAAATTAAAAGTATGCCCAGCCAAATTTTACTGCATATTCCTCAAAAGAAAGCAAAATGACACTTTGATATATGGTGAAACATGTAGACCTCTAATTATCGAACAGACAATTAATCTGAGTTAGAGTACCACTTTTTGTATCGTGCTGTTAAAACCTAATTGGATCAGTGATAACGCACTAGCCTTTCACACAGACGTCCGGGGTTCGATTCCAAGTGCGCATGTGAAAAGGCCACATGCCTAAGGATTTCCGGGTACCCTGTCTTTTCCACAGTGAAACCCCTCGATATATTTGATTTTGATTTAATCATCATTTGTTCAATCTAACATATGGGATTAGGCATAGAAAAAATATGTTCAATGACATATTAAAAAGAAAAGCCAAATATTGAACAAATATATCTTGCTGTGAATTTTAACATGTGATGACTTATGGTATCGTAACCAGATGCTTTTTCAAATTTTAAAACTTTTAATAAAAATTAAATCTATCTGTCATAAAAAGCTGGCAAAGTAGTTTAATTTCACTTTCTGACATATTGATGGCGTCTTTTCATTAACAAAAATCATCAAGAAAATACTAACATGGTAACATAAGGCAAAATTTGAATAAAAGATAGCTTTACAAAATGACTAAGTAAAGGGAGAATAAAACCACGTGTTCCGGAAGAGTAAGCGTCTTCTTCTACGACGACACTCCCGATGTAAACATTGGTCAATCCAAGTAAGTAGTATCACGTTCTCAAATGAGAACAAGGAATGTAACTAACGAGCATAAAATGCATCCAGCTTCATGTCTCACAAAGAAACATAATATTTCTCAAAAAGATCACTATGGCGACCATCAAATTTCCCCATCTTTTTTAGTCAACCTGCATCTTTTGAAACCCTGTGTTTCGAGTTTGTTTGGTCAGCGCGAAAAACGTGATAAAGGGAACTGACTCTTCAATATCGAATCAACTGTGAATACCATAGGTTAACGATGCCGGCATATTGCTATCTAGAAATGAAAAAAATCACAATAGGGAAATTGAAATAATCACGGTTATCATACAGCTTGATGTATCTCTGAGTGCCAATATTTCTTAATCTCCTACCGGAGAGTTTGTTTTTATAGTTATTATCGACTTTTCCCTTCATTTTTTATCTAAGTTTAACAACATTTCATATATCTTGTGAAATCTTTTAATATATATTTATAATAATTTTGTAAAGTTTAAATAAGAAATATTACATTATCACATTTTAGAATATTGACTGTATTCGCACATACATTGTACCTTGTGTTTGTGTACACATAATTTATTGATGGGCCTTTAGGCCAAAATATAAGGGATTTAGATGAGCTGAAATGACTATTAATCATTTTCATTGATACATTAGTAGATTTGATATCATTTCCCAGAAATGTGACATTTTTTAGACCAATGATGACATAAATGTTCTCTTTATTTCCAATGCTCTAGTTTTATTTTATGTATTTTTCTCTTTATTTCCAGTACCCTAGTTTTATTACAGGTATTTTTTTCTCTTTATCTTGTAATGATTTTATAAATATGTTAGGATGTAGTGCTAAATCATCCAACATAATAATTCTATTTATCTATATATGTTTTAGTACTTAATGAATTCAAACTTTAATGACAGTACCTTACTTGAATTTTAATTTTTTGATGTGCTGTTGACAGTATTTTGAATGAATTTGCATCATTATACCTTTGTAGGTTATTGCACTGGAACTGTATACTGTGACAAATATCTTCATGGCCATGGATTTCCGGGAGAGTGTGTCTTTCCTAACCAGAATGCAAAACATGCATGTATAGTGTATAAAAGTCACTATTATGAGACGAATAAGTTAAAACAATTTCACAAGGCTGTGATTCTGATAAGAAATCCTTACGACGCTTTTAAAGCCTTCTTTAACTGGATGTATGGAAAAAGTTTATCCGGAAATCAGACGACAAACCGAACACAAAAGGCAATAACAGGCCCAAGGGATCGATTCCACGCCCTTGTTGACAGTTCCCGTTACAATTCAACCGGTGAGTAACCTTGTACAGTAAAAGCAACATTCTGTAAATTTGTTTACTCCGTATCGGGTAAATTTATTCACTTGAGCATCCGCCCTGTGAGCTCTGTATCTATTTTTAATCACCATATATATTCTAGTAGAATATTTTGTTTCCGTCAAGCTTTCATGCACTCACATAATTATACCTGTGTTAGCTATTTGTCTTTTCTGATCACTCAAGTGAAATACGTTGCATATGATAAAACATTTATGCCAAAAATTACTTTACTGATATTAAACATTCTTTAGTTGATTTAATAACCAACATTATATAACAGATAAAAACAAATAAATTTGTGTGTTTCTGTATTTAGGTTGGAAAGAATACGTCAAAAGACAGTGCCTACGCTGGCAGTCATCCTACACCACCTGGATGAAGGAATTTCAGAACCGGTTCTTGCTCGTGCGTTATAGGGATTTGAAAAATGATCTGATTCCTACCTTGAGGCGGATCAGTGAATTCCTAAATGTCACGGCATCAGAGAAAGATTTAATATGTACTGATATCAACAAAGAAGGACAGCATCACAGGAAACAGAAATATGAGTTAACGATCCCGGACATCTTCACAGAGGAGCAAATTGACATGGTCAATACCGCTATCATGGATGTTATGAAAGTAGCAAAGAACAAATTTAGTTTGAAGGATTTTATTTTTGTTAATGCTAAATACTAAAATAAAGACTGTGTGCAGATTACCAAGTGATCCAAATTAACGTATTCTCTTTTATCACATACTTGTAAATTAATATGCTTCAACAGGTAAAAAAGAAATGCATCAAGGTAGGAGTGTCACATTGCAGTGTTTTTACCTCTAGTGCAGAGTTCTTATTCACAATGTGGTTTAGTATATATGTACGCTTTATCATCATACTGTGTAGTTTAGTGTACATGTACGGTAAATAATCATACAATGTTGTTTAGTGTACATGTACGGTAATTCATTATATAGTGTAGTTTAGTGTACATGTACGGTATATCATCATACTGTGTAGTTTAGTGTACATGTACGGTTTATCATCATACAGTGTAGTTAAGTGTACATGTACGGTATATCATCATACAGTGTAGTTAAGTGTACATGTACGGTATATCATCATATAGTGTAGTTTAGTTTACATTTACGGTATATCATCATACAGTGTAGTTTAGTGTACATGTACGGTATATAATCATACAGTGTAGTTTAGTGTACATTTACGGTATATCATCATACAGTGTAGTTAAGTGTACATGTACGGTATATCATCATATAGTGTAGTTTAGTGTACATTTACGGTATATCATCATACAGTGTAGTTAAGTGTACATGTACGGTATATCATCATAGAGTGTAGTTTAGTTGACATGTACGGTATATCATCATACAGTGTAGTTTAGCGTACATGTACGGTATATCATCATAGAGTGTAGTTTAGTGTACATTAACGGTATATCATCATACAGTGTAGTTAAGTGTACATGTACGGTATATCATCATACAGTGTAGTTAGTTTAGCGTACATGTACGGTATATATATACATTTACGGTATATCATCATAGAGTGTAGTTTAGTGTACATGTATGGTATACCATCATACAGTGTAGTTTAGTGTACATGTACGGTATATCATCATACAGTGTAGTTTTAAGTGTATACATGTACGGTATATCATCATATAGTGTAGTTTAGTTCATACATTTACATGGTATATCATCATACAGTGTAGTTTAGTGTACATGTACGGTATATCATCATACAGTGTAGTTTAGTGTACATTTACGGTATATCATCATACAGTGTAGTTAAGTGTACATGTACGGTATATCATCATATAGTGTAGTTTAGTGTACATTTACGGTATATCATCATACAGTGTAGTTAAGTGTACATGTACGGTATATCATCATATAGTGTAGTTTAGTTGACATGTACGGTATATCATCATACAGTGTAGTTTAGAGTTCATAGAGTGTAGTTTAGTGTACATTAACGGTATATCATCATACAGTGTAGTTAAGTGTACATGTACGGTATATCATCATACAGTGTAGTTTAGTGTATATGTGCGGTATATCATCATACAGTGTAGTTTAGTGTACATGTACGCTTTATCATCATACAGTGTAGTTTAGTGTACATGTACGGTATATCATCATACAGTGTAGTTTAGTGTACATGTACGGTATATCATCATACTGTGTAGTTTAGTGTACATGTACGGTATATCATCATACAGTGTAGTTTAGTGTACATGTACGGTATATCATCATATAGTGTAGTTTAGTGTACATGTACGGTATATCATCATACAGTGTAGTTTAGTGTACATGTACGGTATATCATCATACAGTGTAATTTAGTGTACATGTATGGTATACCATCATACAGTGTAGTTTAGTGTACATGTATGGTATACCATCATACAATGTGAGTTAGGTCACATGTTGATAATAACGATCGTTATCCCAAAGAATCTATCAATATAACAACTTGATTGTTATATGTTAAATATATTGTGATTTT